GCAGATAATTTCACATATTGGAGACCGATGATGGAAGATCATCTCTACTGCAAAGATTTTCATGAGCCCATTATCCTTGATGAGAGACCGGCAGGCAAGACAGATAAGGAGTGGGAGATCCTGAGTCGGAAGGCGGTAGCCACGATCAAGAAATATATTGATAAAAGCCTCTTTGAGCACGTGTCCGAATTCACGAACGCGTATGAGTTGTGGACGAAATTAGAGTCCATGATTCAGAAGAAGACTCCTAGGAACAAAGCACACCTGGTTCGCCGACTTGTTAAGCTTGAATACAAGGACGGCATGAGCATGATTGAACACCTGAACACCTACAAAGGTATTGTGAATCAGCTGTCAAAGGCTGATATGAAAATTGATGAAGAATTGCAGGCATTGCTGCTGTTGAGCTCGCTGCCAGAAAGCTGGGATACTCTGGTGGTGACCCTAAATAACTCGACTCCAGATGGAAAATTGAAGATGGATGTCGTGACAGACAGCCTCCTGGGCGAAGAATCCAGGAGAAGAGAACGAGGTACTTCGAGTACGTCTGAGGCCAACGTTGCTGAGAACAAAGGGAAATCTGACTCCCGTGGTAGAAGCAAAAGCCGAGGTAGAGGTCGTGATAGACCAGACAAGTCCAGAGGTCGGTCAAAGCTGAAATATGAGTTGAAGTGCTTTTACTGTGGAAAGAAAGGCCATAAGAAGCCAGACTGCTGGACCTACAGAATGATGAGAAGAACGGCTCTGTGAAGCCGGATCAGATTATTCCCAAGAAGAGGGAAGACAAGAGCACCACTGCGGTGGCTGCAAATCCTGATGCCGAGATATTCCTCCTTGGTGAGGATAATTATTTGAATGTTGCATATGATGACTGCACCTGGATTGTTGACTCTGGTGCCTCCTTCCACGTTACTCCACACAAAGGTTTTTTCTCCTCTTATCGAGGTGGTGACTTTGGAGTCGTGAAGATGGGAAATCAAGTGACCAGCAAGATTGTTGGTGTCGGTGATGTAACTCTGACCACAGATGTCGGATGCCGACTTGTGTTGAAGGATGTGAGGCATGTTCCTGACATGCGTTTGAATCTAATCTCGGTAGGCAAACTTGATGATGCTGGGTTAGTGAACTACTTCGGTAGTGTTAGATGGAAGCAGGCCAAGGGAAACTTGGTCGTGGCCCGAGGTAAGAAAGAAGGCTCCTTGTACGTGATGCAAGGAAAGATCAATGGCGGAGAAGCCAATTCTGTTCGAGATGAACCTAGCTTGGAGCTATGGCACAAGCGCCTCGGCCACATGAGCGAGAAAGGGCTACAGATCCTAAACAAGAAAGGATTATTGACCGGGTTGAAAGGCCAAGCGTTGGATAGTTGCACGCATTGCCTAGCTGGAAAGCAGCACCGGGTTTCTTTTGTGAGACCGGATCAACCAAGACGACGCAGGTATATTCTTGACCTCGTCCATACTGATGTTTGCTCCATGTCAGAGAAATCTCTTGGAGGAGCTCAGTACTTTGTTTCGTTTATTGATGACCATTCCCGCAAAGTGTGGGTATATTTGTTGAAGACTAAAGACCAGGTACTCCAATCCTTTAAAGAATTCCATGCAATGGTTGAAAGGGAGACTGGCAAGAAATTGAAGGTGGTCCGATCTGACAATGGTGGTGAGTATTGTGGCCCATTTGATGCATACTGCAGAGCGACCGGGATTCGACTTGAGAAGACGCCCCCCAAGACTCCACAGTTGAATGGACTTGCTGAGAGGATGAACAGAACTATTGAAGAGAAGGTCCGAAGCATGTTATCCAATGCCGGATTGCCGAAATCATTCTGGGGAGAAGCCGTCAAAACTACTGTTGATTTGATCAACCTCTCACCATCACGGCCACTTAAAGGAGAAATTCCAGAAGAAGTCTGGACAGGTCGGAAAGCGGCCTACAATCAATTGAAGGTGTTTGGATGCCGAGCTTTCGTGCATATCCCTAAAGATGAAAGGGCCAAACTTGATGCAAATACTAAAGAATGCATTTATCTTGGTTCGCCGAGATGTGAGTTCGGGTTCCGACTTTGGGATCCAATCAATAAGAAGATAGTGAGAAGCCGAGATGTGATCTTTCATGAGCATGAGAACATTCATGACATCTCGAAGCCCAAAGTCCGGGTTACTGTCAGACGTGAATAACCCATCCCTCATGTCCAAACTGAAGCAGGGGGAGAAAATCAAGAGAATGAAGAAATTGATGATCAGCAACAAGCTGATGATGACCAAGACACTGAGGTCCGAGATGATGATGAGATCCAGGATGAAATTGATTAACCGGGTTCTCAAGCTGAAGAACAGCCGAGATATCCAACTCGAGAAAGAAGACCCTCTACGATATACCCATCTGATGAATACACCGTTGTTGCTGAAGACGGTGAGCCTCAGAGTTATGATGAGGCTGTGATGAGCTCAGAGAAAGAAGAATGGAAAAAGGCAATGCAAGACGAGATGAAGTCTCTGCACGAGAATCAGACTTATGAGCTGACCGAGTTGCCTAAAGGAAGACGAGTTTTGAAAAATAAATGGGTCTACAAGATTAAGAATGAAGAGAACGGGCAAAAGCCGAGATACAAAGCCCAAATTGTAGTGAAAGGCTGCAATCAGAAGGAAAGAGTTGATTTTGAGGAGATTTTTTCTCCTGTGGTGAAAATGACCTCGGTCCGAACCGTGTTAGCCATGGCGGCTTCAATGGACCTCGAGGTAGAACAAATGGACGTGAAGACGGCATTTCTTCACGGTGACTTAGAAGAAGAAATATATATGGAGCAACCTGAAGGATTCCAAGCTCCAGACCAAGAAGACTTGGTATGTCGTTTGAAAAAAAGCCTCTATGGCTTGAAGCAAGCACCTCGACAGTGGTACAAAAAGTTTGAATCATTCATGACTGATCATAAGTTTGAAAAGACAGATGCCGACCACTGCGTATTTGTGAAGAGGTATGAGGCCGGAGATTTTCTGATTTTGTTGTTATATGTTGACGACATGCTTATTGTAGGGAAAGATAAATCGAGGATAGCCACCCTGAAGAAGGCGTTGAGCTCGTCCTTCGCAATGAATGACCTCGGCCCTGCAAAGCAGATTCTCGGAATAAAGATTATCCGAGATAGACAGAAGAAGCTACTGTGGCTGAGTCAAGAGAAATATATTGAGAAGATTTTGAAGAGATTCAGCATGGACAAAGCCAAAACAGTGAGCACCCCCCTAGCCGGACACATAAAGCTGAACCAAAAGCAATGTCCGAGATCTGATGAAGACAAAGATGAGATGATGAAGGTCCCGTACCAATCCGCCGTCGGAAGCTTGATGTATGCAATGGTTTGCACTAGACCCGACTTGGCGTATGCTGTTGGAATGGTAAGCCGGTATTTGTCAAACCCCGGCAAAGAGCACTGGGAAGCAGTGAAGTGGATCTTCAAGTACCTCCGAGGTACGACAAACTTATGTCTCCGATTTGGAGAAGGCAAAGCCCAGTTGCAAGGCTACTCAGATTCTGATTTAGGGGGAGACGCCGACTCGAGGAAGTCGACTACAGGATATTTGATGAGATTTGCCGGAGGAGCTGTCTCTTGGCAATCAAGACTTCAGAAATGTGTTGCACTATCGACAACTAAGGCTGAGTACATTGCCGCTACTGAGGCAAGCAAAGAGATGTTGTGGATGAAGAAGTTCCTCATGGAACTCGGCCATAATCAAGACAAGTACGAGCTGGGTTGTGACAATCAAAGCGCAATCCATCTTGCGAAGAATTCAACCTATCACTCCCGCACTAAGCATATTGATGTGAGGTACCACTGGATCCGGGATGTGGTGGAAGGTGGTGAGCTCGAACTCGTCAAGGTGCACACTGACCAAAATTGGTCCGACATGATGACAAAACCGGTTCCAGCAAGAAAATTTGAAGACTGCTGTGAAGGAGCCGGGTTGATGCTGAAGCCGACACATTGAAGTCGGAGGGGGAGATTTGTTGGGCTTCCTCCTTCAATGCTAAGCCCAAGCCCATTTGAGGGGTTTCCTAAAAATCCTAACCCTAATTTCCACCTCCTCTATATATACTCATTAGTTGTGGGTGGAGGCTAGGTCAGATTTGAGAGAACAAATTTGAGAGAAAAATTGTTTGATTGTTTGAGTAAAGCTTTATGCTTTGCATTTGAGAAATCTCTAGAGAGAGTTTGAGTGAAACATCTCTAGGGTAGTTTGATTATCACCATTGTTGGAGAGGTTGAGTTAACCACCACATTGGTGTATTTTGATTCATTGTAACCATTATTTTCATAGTGGATTTTTGATCTGGATTAGGTCCCGTGGGTTTTTACTTCTTCATTCAAGAAGGTTTTCCCATGATAAATCTGGTTGTGTTCTTCTTCTCTCTCTCCTGTTTTTGTTTTGATTTTTTCGCTGCGCTGCCTGACCTAGTGAAGTTCAGGCTGAGGTATTGCCAAGATCCGAGATCAGGATTTTGTTGATTGACTTCCGCACAAAAGCTGCTTAGCCGAGCTTGAGGGAACCAAGTTTTCCCAACAATTACATCATTGATCTTTTTTTATCTAATGGCTATCTGATGAAATGTCAAACTTCAAATTTGACATTAGTGTCAAAGGATCTTACTTCTCATATATATATATATATATATATAAAAGGACCATACATGCAACGTGGGCCTACAACCATGTAATCGTCTGCAAGATTAGTGAGAAAGCATGATATTATAAATACTTTGTTTTTGTGGTAACGAATATCCCTTTTCTATGGTCAAAACGTTGATGAGTACTTTTCAATCACTCATTGCAATGCTTGCGCTGTTTTCCACCAACAATCAAACTTGTTATGGTTATGCTTCTTTTTCATGCCACCTCTGAAGCCTTCGGTTTATCTTACTGTCACATAGTGGGACCTCAATCATATTATTTTGATAGAGGAATTACAGATGCAACCAGTTTTCAAGTATCTGTGATATTAGGCATACAAATCATAAAAATGTTGAACTTTGTATTTCTTTAGCCCTTTGAAAACTCTAGTGGATTGTTTGTGTACAAATGTTCAGGTTCTTAACATGACTTGCCAACAGCCGAATAGCCATCACCGCAATGTTCATTCTATATGACTAGTTAGCAAGTATAAAAGAGTACTGTCACAATCACAACTCACAACACTTAAAAGATAACAAATAGTGTCAACAATCAATATTGTAACAAATGAAACTAGGTGCTCTTTTTAAAGGACACATAAAATGACAGGCAATATGCCACAGACCCGGGCTAGACGCTCTTCTTTATCTCTAATGAATATTTGAGTTCCATGTGACACCTTCTATCATCATCTTCAAACTGTAACATAGCAAACAAAGAGTACCTAGTTTGTGTAAGTAGTAGTACAAATTACACGCACACACAAAAATACAGTACAGTGTAAAGCACAAGATATTGTTTCTAACAACATAAAACAACTGAGGCAAATTATAGAAGCCATTCAAATCTTCATGCATTTGGATTTCGAATTCGCAAAATATAGCCTTTGGCAAATTGAAATTGTGACTGTAAATTAAATAAGTGACAATTGAATAACTAATCTCTTGTGAATTGTGATTATTACTGGTGCCTGACTAATTTATTGGCGGTTGATGAAGATAAAACAATCACCCTGTCCACTGTGATAACATTGCAGCTATAATGAACAATAACACAATGGAAAGTTATTGAATCTGATTTTTTGGGATTTTCAAGTACTAAATACAGGTTTAATCCTGTTTTGGGACGGTTTAGAACACCATATGGAACAAACAGCAACAAGTTAAAGTTTCAAAGGGAAAAGGAAAGAAGAGAAAAAAAGATCAGTATTTTCAGGAGTTATGAAAACATTCCTCAAGTTGCAGATTATAAATGTATGCATAAAATATACATATCAATCATAACTTGATAAAACTTTATGCAGATGAGTAACCATGTATTTGCCTTTCAAATGAAGCATCGAAAAAAAATATGCATTTTTCACTTAAAAATACTACAACCAAGACACAGCAAATTCACCACAAATTATTAAGAAAGCATACGAGTGTATTTTTACTTCTCATACCTTGATTTTGGCTGAGTAGACACCCCTTGCAAGCGCGCCAGATGGAGTAATATCCTCTTTCAAGGCATGTATATATGGTTCTTTTTGAGGAGCAAAGGTACCCAACATTCCTTTGCTCTGGTCAACTGAAATATCCAAGAGTAAAATTGAATTCTTGCTATAATACAGAAAAATAGGTCATTACCAACTGACCAATGTCTCACACAAAAGACATGTTTTCTGTACAATCATACTACCTATGAAAATAGAGAGGCAGTAGTGCAAATTAACAAAATGTAAGTGTCAGCAAATAAACCCGGCAGTTCAAATTAATTGTTATCTGCAATTGCAATTCAAATTAGAGAGCCAGGTTTGCAGAATCATGAGACAAGACATCAAATTTTAAACCTAAGGTTTTTAAAAGCCAATTAATAATAATAATAATCCTACAAACTCAAAATTATCTAGCAAGTTAGCAACAGAGAAAAGTATTAACTATGTACCTTGAAGCCCTCCTTTCCACACAGTGTTGGAGTATGCCAGGCCAGAGACAATGTTGTGCAGAACACTAAATTTTAGCTTAAGCTGATAATGAGACCCTTCCCTGAGAGTGAATAGAATATGACCATTTTGGTTTTCATCCGCAGGTAAAGGAGTAATCATTTCACCAAAATCCTCAGAGATTATGCCAATGGAGTGGAATTTCACTTTAGGATATATTTGACCTATATTGATAAGAAAACAACTTAAAACAGGACCAAGCAAAAGTGGTATGCAGCATAAAAGTGGATAATAAACAAACTCCTTAAACAAACCTTCTGAATCACTTTCCAAGCAACCCAAGAGCTTCTCTTTCCACCTCCTTAGGCTTTCATCCTCCTGCACAGCACAACCAACTTCCAAATCAGAATATCACTAGTAAGAGTCACTTTCTCAACGGATGATGTAACCAACCTATGAGAAACAACTCGGATAGCATATGCGCAGTGAAATCATTTGATCTAATGCAGTATTGATATAAAGAATAAGTTATGCCTGAAATGGGGGGAAAAAATACTTATGATCTAAAACACAATTAGCAAATATTTCCAATTAGTTGAACCATTTTATATATAGCTTGTAAAGTGCTTCTCCATTTCATTATTGTAGGTATTCTACTCTAATCTCTACCTACTTTAACCGGTGAAAGTTTAGTTTTGCTCTCTCATATAGTCCAGAATGCACGAATCAGTATAGGAATATATTTCACCACCACAAGATAGCTTACTGCAGCATCAATGGCAGGGACTTATAATGCTTAACATAAAGGACCAAGAATCCTAAAAAAACCTAAAATGCAGTGTAAAGTGGACAAGGGGTGGTTTGAGATTTGAATGATGCATATAGCACTAGAGAAACAGTTCGTTTCCAACATTCACCAACCCCAAAAACTATTAAGGATTTTCAATAAAATACATGAAAACAACAAACCATTAAGCGAGATGTTCGAAAGCAAAAAAATAAAAAAAATTTAATCTTTCCGAAATCCCACAATTTCAAAAGGGTTTAGAAATTTAAATGGGGGATAAAAAAAATCAGAAAACCTTGTCCCGTTCGATCTGTTCCTTGAGAGAAAGAAGAGGGCCAGGAACAAAGGTGCTATTTTTATGATCATCAATGTCTTTTTCTTCTTCCTCTTCCTCAGCTTCTTCTTCGTCCTTCCCATGATCATGGAAAGCTTCATCTGGGTTTTCAGGGATTTCTTGTTTACTTGCACCAATCCCAGAAGCAGAAGAGACCCCACATGATGGCCCTGCTGTTTCCTCTGCTCTCTTCCATTTCCCACCCTCCATCTCTCTCTCTCTCTCTATGATAGGGTGTGTGTTGTTGTTGTTGTGTGTGTGTGTAGTTAATAGTTATCACCACTCACCACAAAGTGAAGTAGAGAAGTTCTCTGTGGATTCGTTTCCAACAACATTAGTATACGTATAAATACTGTAATAACCAGAGTAAGTACCATTCATCCTTATTGGCTTTTAGAATCTTCTATATATTATTAGTTGAGTAATTTTCCTTTTAAGTTTCCGTTAGTCTATTTTAAGAAAATAGTGATCATTCTCGCTCGTATTGCTACCACTTTGATAGATAGAGGAATGTAGTAATGAAAATTGGACATCAGAAAATTGAAACAACTCTTTCCCTCTCCAATTTTCCTCTTCTCTACCCTGAATTCTTCTAAGACAATCTCTATTCCTGTTTTCTCGTGAAGCACTGCTGGGACAATCACCGTATTGCCACTTTAAAATTTTACCTCATTGCCACGCCTGAATTTCGCTGGTCTGACAAGCGGGAATGGACTGGACACGTGTCAGCATCTGAATGGTCAACCATTCTCGCTGGGCTGCCCAGCTAGAATAACAGAATGCTGACACGTGGCAAAAGCACATGCATTCTCTGGATGTCTGTACTTTTGCCACGTGTCAGCATTCTGTCATTCTAGCTGGGCAGCCTAGCGAGAATGGTTGACCATTCAGACGGTGACACGTGTCCAGTCCATTCCCGCTTGTCAGACCAGCGGGATTCAGGCGTGGCATTTTGGCAAAAAAAATTTCAAAAGTAGCAATTAGATAAATTTGTATTAAAGGAGTGGCAATATAGTCAATGTCCCAATCACTGCTACAAGCCCTTACCTTTGTGTCTGACATATATTTAGCTGCCTTGTCCTTTTCTATGTTTTCTTCGTTTTGTCAGATATTTTTGCGAAACAGTACTTGACTTTTTCCTTTTAATTTGGGAAAGGATATTCTCAGTGTCAATTTTTATTTATTTTTTTATAGACATTCTCACTGTCAATTTAATTTATTATTTTATATCATTAAATTTTACTTATTGACTTTTGTTAATATGATAGTTATAATTTATTAAGAAATAATAATTAATTAATAAGTATCATTCAATAAATTATAACCGTCAGATTAATAAAAATTAAAAATTAAAATTTGGTGATAAAAAATAATAAACTTAATTTATGGTAAGTATAATCTTCCTTTTTGAATTTTACCTTACTTGCTTTCTTTCTTTCAAAATCACTGTTTATATAAATATGGGTAAATTTAAATATGGTTTATTTTAAAATTATTTATCTTTAATTATTTCTTATTCATGTGGCAAATTGGATAATTTATATAATTTTAAAAAGTTTAGGTCTATTTGATCAAACAAAAAATTGCACATAAAAGTAAATGTTAAAAAAAAAAAATAAGTAATTTTAGAGTAAATCATATAAGTATTTGAATTTTATCCTATAGATAATAAAATGCCATTGAAAATCATCATTTTTTTAAATAAAAGAAGTCTTCGAGTGTGATATGTTAGAATTAATTTTAAATTAAATATTTTTTATGAATAATAATTTTGGTTTGAAATATATGTGTTCTTTCGTTGGCCAATGAATGTGTCGTTTCACTACTGAAAATGTATCATTCAAATCATGATCTTACAATTTTTATAAATAAATGGAGAATTAGATTTTTTTTACCCGAGTTTTTTCTATCAGTATTTTATATATCTTTTTTGTATTTGCATCATTCTACTCTCACGCGATTGGTCAAATATAGCATGAGTTCGACGAGATTGTTCTACTTGAAAGTGTCACCGCAAGAACAGATATAATTTGTTTTATTTTTGAAGATAATTATACATGAATCTTGGGTACTATAAAGAAGGCAAAATTGTGTTAAGAACAATATATTTTTGTATGATATATTTTAACTTCGTGTTATTGTATGATTTGGTTTCTTTCGTATATTTCATAAAACTGTATTTGTTATTGAAATAATTATTTTAACACAAATTATTCTATTGTTATTGTTTGACATTATTTTTCTAACATGATAAACACTAAATAAAGAAAAGAATTGTAATTATCCTTAAAATAAATTTTAAACATTTAACTATTGGAAATAGTTGGTAATTAATATGATAATATAATCTTTATATTATGAAAAATAATTATTTTATGTTGCATAAGATAATTATCTTATGCAATAGAGACAAGGTAATAAAGTCCACTATTTAAAAAGAAGAAAAAAGATAATAGATCCCACTACCTTAACTCTATGACATAAAATAATTATCTTATACAACAAAATAATTATCTTATGCAGCATAACTAAATAGATCCCTTATATTATGGGACAATCGGTGGGAAAAGTTTGGTTTGTTGCTACCATATTTTTGTAAGTGTTATACTTAGATTTTTTGTCTCTTTTGCTCTTCATTAATTAATTAATAATCATTTTGCCCCTTATCTAAAATTATCTACCAATTCTATCCCTCTTTAATCGATTAATATGGAGATTTAATCGATTAAATGGTCAAAACTGGCAAAAATGGTTGACTTGAATATTTAATCAATTAACAATTTCTCGTAATCGATTAAATATCTCTCTTAATTGATTTAATCGATTAAAACTTACATTTAATCGATTAAATATCACAAATGAGCGTGAAAGCATTGATTGAATGAGACAACACAATATTGGAGGTTATTTGAATTTTGAATTTAATGTAATAGGAGTTGATTGTGATTTGTATTTAATAGAAGCTGATTGCGTCTTATTAAATACAAAACGCAATCAGCTCCTATTAAATACAAAACACAATCAGCTCCTACTAAACACAAATCGCAACCAACTCCTATTACATTAAATTCAAAATTCAAAATTCAAATAACCTCCAATACACGGAAGACTGATTGAAGATTTTGCTAAGTATTTTTATGATGAATATGCAAGACGGGAAGGGTTCGTTGTTCGCCTTGATCGATGTCATCGTTTCGAGGTTGACAATAGGATCACTTCGCGCCGTTTTTCATGTAATAAGCAAAGTTCATGTGAGAGGTAGAAAAGGAGCCAGACCTGTTCATGTAAATCAATCCAGTTTCCAAGAATAGTTTTTCTTTTCGTGCTATTGCTAAATCAAACCATTAACAGTGTTTGCGTTTGCATTTGCTTATCATATTTTAAACCTAATAGTTGGCGTACTATATCAAAAGGAAAGTAACAAAATCAGTTCATGTAAATCAATCCAGTTTTCAAGAATCGTTTTTCTTTTGTTGATTTCTTTGTTTGTTTGGTTATCTATACTTGTTGATTTGCTTCATATGCATGGAATCTGCTTTTGCTTATGGAGGAGATTTGACCTTTGTTGCCTGTTGGGAGATTTAATCGATTAATTTGAAGATTTTTTTTTGGTGAATGATTAACTTGAAGATTTAATCGCCATGCCTGTCTGTTGGAGTGAATTGGATGATCGGGCCGAGGGCTGCCCCCTCTTCCCCTCACTCTCATTTCCCTAATATGAACCTTTTGTCATCATAGCCTTTCTTACTCGGCCTGGCCCGGTCGTCCTACGCGACTGGCGCTTCAAAAGGTAGTTGACTTGCTTACTCGTTAGATTAAATCTTCAAGTCAATTATTTTTGTCAGTTTTGACCATTTAATCGATTAAATCATCAAATTAATCGATTAAAGAGGGGCAGATTGATAGATAATTTTGAATAAAGGGAAAAATGGTTATTAATTAATTAATGAAGGGTAAAAGAGTCAAAAAGCCGTTATACTTATACCCGTTTTACTATTTTTATTTTAAAATGAATATTTAAAAGCTTATTAAATATAATATATTTTCCCTATAAAAAGTAAAATATATATTTTTCCTTCTATTTTTTATTTTTAAAATTTATCACCAAATTTCTTTTTTGGTAAAACAATTTTTTTATTTTATATTATTAATTAATATATTTTTATGAAATTAATTCTGTAAATATCACTATCATATTTTTTTTTAATTCTTATATAATATTTGGAGTTAACTTATAAAATCTTGTATTAATTTGACTTCTTGGAATTTTATTTATACTGAAAATTAGTTGGATGACAAAACCTAATTAATGACCTAAATACTTAACAGCTATTGTACATAAGAAAAAAAAATATAGGTACGGGGATAATGCCATACAACAAATTAGAAAAAAAAAAAAAAAAAAAAGGAAAGAGTGTATGTCATTTTAAAAGAGATGAAGAGATAGATAAAGGAGGAGAGAGAGTAGACAAAAAAAATAAAGGTATGAGTCCCACCTCTTTGTGAAAGAAATGATATAAATTATTTCATTTAAAAGGATAAAAACTTTTCCAAAAGAAATATAGGTATGGGGATAACTTTCCCCAAAATTTTGACGATAGGAAGCTGAATAATATTACTTTCACATATAAAATGTTGTAAATAATATTGATTATTTAGTTTTTATTTAGTCATTTATTGTTGTATTGAACCAAGCCCTTTGTTGTATTGGGCCAAGCCCATTAGGTTAAAAGTAGGTCAAATATTCTCTATAAATAGAGAACCATTTGTACACATTATTTACAATTCTATAATATATTAGAATACCCTTTTTCAAGTTGGTATCAGAGCTCTCGATCTGAGGGCTTTGCTTCCGCACATATTATCTTCTTTTTTAACAAAACCCTAATTTCTTTGCCTCTTGCCGCCACCGGAAAATTTTTCCGGGGACCTTTTGGACCAAGGGGACCATTGTTGACCTTATTTTTCCTCCGATCTATCATTCTACACATTGTTCCTCCGCCACAAACGACCGAAACACCTCTGACCGCCTCCAATCAGATCTGTCTTCACTGTTTGGACCACTTTCCGGCTACTTTTCAACCGCGACCACCCACAGACAGGTGCGCGCTCACTGGACGACCACACCAGAAAAATCTCAGCTGGCGAAGCCCATCCACGCGCTCTCACGCGCCGCCCCTTTCCCGGCGAGTGAATCCCACGCGCAGCTCCTTTCTCCGGCGCGTGGAGGCGCGTACGGCCGTGTTTTTGGACCGGACCACCACCATTCTTCTCGTCTTCTTGTCTTCTGTCTGGATCTGTAATTATTTTTCTGATCAGAGGTCATTTGATATTTTGTTTGG